GCCTGGCTTCAGGTTCTTTGTAAGCTAAGTAGCCACGTGGACCGACAGAAGAGATAAGGTATTATAAATAAAATATTTCAAAAATAACCGTAATAAGAAAAAATAAGACCTTTTTCATAATAAAGAACATCAAACTTGTAAACATCCATATTGGTAATTTCCTTTATTTGGCAAAACCAAGTAAGAAATAAACACTATCATGCATCATGTAGAAAATAAAACATGATAATGTTTAGGGGAAACCAAACACTTTCATGCATGTCTGCATCAACATCATACTCATAGCATGCATTTTCTACTTTTATATAAATGGAGGGATCCAGCAGTAAGCAGTTGGGGAAAGTGGATATTCCCCGATACCACGCGCGAGAGGTTGGAACAATTATGCACGCTAATTCCACCTGAGGTTCGTTCCGATTTCGAGAGATCTTATGGACGGATCCTCGACCTCTTAAGAATCTGTGTCGACCATGTATTCTTTAGAGTTTTGATCCACTTTTGGAACTCTAGACTGTGTTGCTTTGAGTTTCCTCAGTTTGATTTGGTTCCAACCTTGGAAGAATATGAGCTTATGATTCAATGGCCTAAGTCAGTTGGGGTCTACATTAACCAAGGAGCATATATCTCTACAAACAAGGTCGATTACCTTATCCGGTTGCCACTTCCACAATCTGCCTTGATAAGAAAAGGGAAGGTCCAAGGGTGGAGGATCTCACTGTTGGAAGACCATTTATCCTTTTTGGCTAGTAAAGGAGATTGGTCTACTTTCAACAAGACTCTAGCACTAATCATGTTCGGGACCTTTTTGTTCCCTTTCCATAGCGACACCGTGGATCACGCCGCGATGGATGCCTTTTTTGCCTGGGACGTGCACTTGAAGAGTCTTGTGCCTGCACTTCTTGCCGACACGTTGTTGTTAGTAGAATTCTTCTATCGCAAGCAAGGAAAAACACTTAGATGTTGCTCTTTGTTGTTATTTGTTTGGGGTATCACGCACTTCTACGCCTCAAGCCACATGGGAGCTTTCCCCGATCCATTGAGGAGCTTCTCAAAAATCCCTCTCCTCCGACGCTCAGTCATGGAATGGAAAGTCGAGTTGGAATAATGGAATATCAATCACTTATCCTGGGCTTGTCCATGGTTCCGACCCGGCCCTATCCTCATCAAATGCGGAGACTATCCGAACATACTGCTGGTGGGCCTCAGAGGTTGCATAGCTTACTCCTCGAAGATAGCTATGAGACAACTTATGAGAGCTCAAACCACGCTATCCAGAGAAGAGCTCGGAGGACTATGTTTCTTCAAAAACCCATGCAACATCTCAAACTCACTTGCCATACGGAGAGCATGGGAGAAACCAGTCTACATGGGGGATAGAGAGCTAGGCAAAGCTTGAGTGGCTGTTTCTAGTGACTACGAGGAATGGAGGAGAAGCAGAGGGATGTCACAACCATCTGCCCCATCCACTACTTCATTGACAAACGAAGAGCTTCGAGCACGAGTTGATGCCTTGACCCAAATGATAGAAATTATGGGGGTGCAGTTAAGGACCCTTGAGGAGAAAGAACAAGAATCTATCCTTACCATTGATGGTTTTCAAAGGAAATGTAAGAAGAAGGACCAAGAAATAGAACACCTCAAGGAAAAATGTGCTGATTTCGACGAGGAGGTTATCCGAGCATCCAAAGTCTCAAGAGTCGACATGGATAACCAACTCCAAGAGATGTCTGCCAAATTAGCACACCTTGTGGCTAAATATGCGGAGCAGGCACAGACGACCAAGATGATGCTACAAGATCTCGCAAGGACTCGGTCTGAAGCACATCAGGGGAGGGAGACCGCCCAAAAACTCAACAGAAGCCTCACTAAGCTACGCGACAAAGAGAAAGATGGGTTAGCTTAGTACAACCAGGTTTTGCAAGAGAGAGACTGAGCCATTGAAAGACTCGAGAACTTAAAAGCCTTGGTCGTCCATCAAAAGGCGAAATTAGAGGAGGCTCAACGACACAGTGAAGATATGAGTCAGGCAGTCCATCGACAAGCCGAAGCACTCACTCATCACGTACGGGAAGCCAAAGAAGAATTACGTAGAAATTACAACCCGCCTGTGGGTTCCTTTAGGCTTTTTCGCTTTTGCCAAAATGTGCTTCGCAGCATGGCGTAGGGGAATGTACACTTTCTCAAATAAATAAATTTTGTTTATTCAAACAACTGGATACTTGCATTCATTGCATTCATTCGCATTCATTAAAATATCCCTCCTTCACTTTTAATTAATAAGATAATAAAAAGGAAAGATTAACTGATGTGTCTTCCGCAATCAGAACGATGGAAAGGAAACCGTTCATAATCAAGCTCTCCCCAACGACTGATCCACCTAAGGAGGACAATAAGCCTCGGTCATTGGTCATCAAAGTTAATAAAGAAGAGGGGGCAAAGATGCCTCTGTGATTATTTATGCCCCGTCCTTTACCCTACAATTCAAATAAAGTTGTACCATAAAGATACGGGAAATCATCACCCACCAATGAGAACATCTCCAATATAGCCGGCATTGGGGGCATGACAAGAAGCGGAAGAATCTACTCCCCCAAGGAGTCACAAGAAGACGCCCCCAAGAATAAAGGGAAGAACAAAGAAACCAAAGAGGAAGAGAATAAAGAATCCAAAGAGGAGACTGGCGAGCTGCTCCAGTTGATAAGATAGTGAGTATTCCATCATTGACCAACTCAATCACACACCTGCAAAGATAACTTTGTTATCACTAATGATGAGTTCGGAATCGCATCGAAACGCCCTGATGAAGGTCTTGGGTGAAGCGCATGTACCTCATACGATATCCCAAGAAAAGGTCGAGAGGATCGTCAGTTACATCACAACCAGCGATCACCTCACCGTCACAGATGAAGAACTCCCTCCCGAAGGGTCAAGCCATAACAAGCCCTTACATATCTCCATCAAATGCAAGGAGTACCTCATCACCAAAGTTCTTGTGGATAACGGGTCATCCTTGAATGTGATGCCTAAGTGCACACTCGACAAGTTAACCATTCAAGGAACCTGCATGCGTTCAAGCAGCACTATCGTTCGAGCCTTCGACGAGTCCAAGTGAGAAGTAGTGGGAGAGATCAATCTGCCAATCCAAATTGGTCCCACTATCTTCAACATCGATTTCCATGTGATGGATATTACTCCAACATACAGTTGTCTCCTCGGCAGACCTTGGATTCATGACGTTAAGGCAGTACCTTCGACGCTCCACCAAAAAGTCAAGTTTATAGTAGACGACAAACTGGTCATGGTCCAAGCTGAAGATGACATCTTGATCAGTAGACCGTCTACCCAACCTTATGTGGACGCGGCCAAAGAGGCCCTTGAATCTTCTTTTCAAGCACTTGAAATTGCCAATGTAGAGAGACTTCCCAGCAACATGAAGGTAGCCCGCATGATGATGAAGTACGGTTACCATCCTGGCCAAGGGCTCGGTGCAGACTCCCAAGGAATAAAGGAGCTACGGAATTTAAGGACAATCCTCTAAAGCATGGCCTAGGATATGACCCTACAAAGGGCCGAACTATAAGAAGAAAAGGGAAGTCTCCCTTCCGCACATTGAAGCAGATCTTTTGAAGCGGAGGGATACAAGCGTCAAGAGCAACTCTAGTCATTAGGAATTGTTTTTCCTTTCTTAAGGGATGTAAACCCAGTGATTCTTAGAGATTACTCCCCGGGGCTAGTCCGATCCCCCGGCATCTTAAGGGCACATATTCCCCTCTTATTACAATTCTTACTAGCTGCTTCTCTTCTTGCTATTCATGTCTAAACCTCATAATAACCATGTTTAAGAAAATGTTTTCAAAAGTGCGTCAAAATAAGCAAAATGCGCCATCGCCAAAATAATCAAACCGATTGACTAGAAACACAAAATAAGGTTTTACCTCATCATAATAAAGTCATGTTTAGCTAATGTTGCGTAAAAAGAAAACAAAACATAAAAGAAACCCATAGAAGCTAAAGGCCAAAAAGAAAAGGCAAAACACCCAGTAGGAAACCCACTCAATGGGGCTACGCAAAAATTAGGGTCAACCCGTTAGGAAACCCGAACAACAATAAAGGGTAGTCTAGGCAAAAATTAGGGTTACAAAATAAAGTTCGTTAGGTTTCCCAAAGCAAGAAAAAAAGAAACCTAGACAAAAGTTAGGACAAAAACAAAACATCCTAGCCTGAAAACCCAAAGGGCGGTCTGGGGAAGTCAATCAGTCATAACAAGCGCCATAGAATAAGACGCCATTTCATAAACAAAACATTTGTCTAAACTAGCCCAAACACTTTAACCAACCTTGGCTAGTCGTGCTTATAACAACCATTTTTGTCAAAAATAAAACAATTCTAAAATACAAGCCTTTGAATCAATTATCCTCTTACTTCTCTTCTCTTGACCCTCATCACAATATTCTGATAATTAATGGGGGAATATGGAGACATAGTAATCAACAAGAGGATTTAAACCTCCAGAGAAAGGAAAAAGTGCACCAACATGGCAAGTTAGCTCCCTAGTCAGCAATCACTCTTTGGTCATGGCAAGTCCAGGATGGTACAAACGGTAAAGTTAAAGCACGACATACACATCAGTTAACCCTTCTGAGAAATTAACTGAAATAGCATTATAGGATGCATATCATAAAACATTGCATGCATAGATGTTCATGAACAAGGCCCTATACCTTTCTTTTTACAAAAATAAAAATTAGAAAAACCCAGACGACCGTCTCATTTGGCGAGACCGCCGTCTCACCTTTCGCCAAAGGAAAAACCGCCGTCTCGCCATTCGCCAAAGGCTAGACCGCTGTCTCATTTGGCAAGACCGCCGTCTCGCCATTCGCAAAATGTGAGATGGTCGTCTCAACATCCCAGACGGTCATCCCAAAAACCGTTAAAACAAGACGACCGTCCCAAATCCTGGACGGTCGTCCCGACCGTTGAAAAATTTTCAATATATAGGCATGTCCGAGTCGTTTCCAAAGCATCCCATTCCTGCATCCTCTATTCATCTCATACATCTTCCTACATATCTGAGTGTTTCTGAGCAAGATGCATCAGGGAGAATCTTCCACACCCAGGAAGCGCGGTTAGGGACCCGACCAGGGTGCTCCAGCTCTGCAGGCCTGAAAGCAATGAGGGGGAGATTGATGGAAATGTCCCTAAATTCCCAAGAGATGATTTTGATGATGATTCAAGTCAACTACATTCAAGTCAACACCATTCAAGATGAATTAAGGACAAGCTGAATTTATGACGTTGGTGACAATGTGAAACATTTTCCTACATGCCCAAGATATGTTTTTGATAAAGATGATGATTCAAGCAAGCCCAAGATGATTCCTGAAGACTAGATAGAGTCTTAGAATACTGGATATAGAGGTACAAGTTGATGAATTAATATTATGCATAAGCCTCCAAAGCACAAGTGTGATAAAATTCATAACATAATATTTTTCTCTGTCATAATCAATTATGATGCATCAGAAATGGAAAAATGATTTTCTCTTTCATAATTGATTATACTGGTAACATAATCAATTATGGCAATTCAAATTTGAAAAATATATTTGTTTTGAAGAATAAATATTTATGAATATATCCTGATTTTTATTCACAAAAATATTAATGTCCAACAACCATTTTCTGATGTTATTTTTCTATTTAATTAAGTTTTGATGAAAAATAAAAAATAAACAATTACAGAATTCCAAAATACAATTCACATTCAATCAGTTTTGAGAAAAGAATTCTGAGCAAGGCAACAGAGATATTTTACACCTTCTGAGAAAACCCTCTTCTCTACTGTCTTCTGTGCTTTCATTGTTAATCACACTTGTTCTTGGAGGTTGACATTCTACAGGCTTCTACAATTTGTTGTCTCCATTACCCAGGTTTGACTGTTCTTATTTTTATTACCTTCATCCTTTTTGTATTGGTGGAAAAGGAGGTGTTTTTCATCCCTAGTGTGATTTTAGGGAGGTGTTCATCCTTAGTGAGCTTCTAAGGAGGTGTTTTCATCTTTTGATTTGTTCAAAGGAGGTTTTCATCCCTAGTGTGATTCAAGGTAGGTGTTCATCCTTAGTGGGATTCTAAGGAGGTGTTTTTCATCCTTTGATTTGTTTAGAGGAGGTGTTCATCCCTAGTGGGATTCTAGGGAGGTATTCATCCTTAGTGAGTTTCTACAAAGGTGATTGACTTTTTAATTAGTTTACTTTTTACTGGTTCTTCTGCTGAGTTGATTGTAATTTGTAAACTGAATTTGAAAGATAGTGAATTGGGAGTCACTCTTGTGTTAAGAGTTGACTGGGAACTGGATGTAGGGTTGGCTATACCCGAACCAGTATAAATCATCTCTTTCCCTTATCTCTTTCCCTTTTCCTGATTATATTATCGCTTCCGCTTTATTTGTATTCAAACAAATTATTGACTCACAAATAATTTTTTAATTTGACATCTATTTTAATTTGTGCATCTATTCACCCCCTTTAGATGCCATTTGTCTAACAAGTGGTATCAAAGCTTGGTTAGATAAGATATTTCTAAACGATCTGTCAAGATGTCTATGCAGAATCAGGTTTACAGGGAAGGAGCCTCAATAAATAGACCTCCACTATTTGAAGGTGAAGACTATCAGTTTTGGAAGGCGAGAATGGAAATATTTTTACAAACACTAGATTATGGTGTTTGGGATGTTGTACTCAATGGTCCTCACATTCGGATGAGAACAACGGAGTCTGGAGCTATTCCAAAGATTTTTTATCAATGGACGCCGGATGAAAATAAGCGTGCTCATTATGATGTAAAAGCCCGAAATGATATTGTTTCTGCCTTAACTCGTAATAAATTTTTCAGGGTCTCACAATGCAAGACGACAAAAGAAATATGGGACACTCTTGAAGTAAAACATGAAGAAACAAATGAAGTAAAGCGAGCATGTAAGAACACACTCATCCAGGAGTACGAATTATTTCAAATGCAGCAAAATGAAAGCATCACGGATTTCCAGACACACTTCACACATATAGTAAATCACATGAAAACATTAGGAAAGAGTTTTGACAATGAGCAGTTGAACACAAAGATCTTGAAATCCTTAGAGAGGAATTGACAACCAAAGGTCACTGCTATTACAGAATCAAAGGATCTCACAAAAATGAATATTGCAACTCTATTTGGAAAGCTGCGAGAACATGAGATGGAGCTACAAAGGTTAAAGAACGGTGAACACAATCAAACCAAGACGATAGCTCTAAAAGCAGAAAAATCTTCACAAGACGAAAGCGAAAATAAAGGTAAGTTTTCGGACTCTGGTGTCTCTTTTTGTTAAACAATTTTCTCGCTTTATGAAGAATAGGAAAAAGAGACAGCAAAGAAAGGAGAAAACAAATAAATTCCATTGCTATGAATGTGGAAAACCTGGTCATATCAAACCAGACTATCCAGAACTTAAGAAAGAGAAGAAAGATGTGAAAGAGAAGAAGAAAGAGAATAATGATACCTATAAGAGCAAACACAAAGCTTATATTGCTTGGGAGGATAATGATTCTTCCACAACACAAGAGATTTCTTCTGAAAGCAGTGATGGAGAAGAAGAAGCAAATCTTTGCTTGATGACAAAAGGTGATGATGAAGCCTCATCATAGGTAAGTAGTACAAAATCCTTAAATGAATATGATGAGTTGTTTAAAGAATATCAAGATATGTATGAAGGTTTTACCAAGTTATCTAAGAAATACAATGCACTTAGGCAAAAGTTTAATGCATTAGAAAATACTGTTGGTATTCTTGAAAAAGAAAATGAGTGCTTAAAGATAGATGTTGAGAAATTTAAAACTTTGTCTAAAAATAAAGTAGTTGCTAAACCTTGTGAAAATTGTAATCTTTTGGAAAATGAGATTTTCAAGTTAGAGAAAATAATAAGCAATTTTTCAAAATCTTCTAAAAATCTTGATTCTATATTAGGTTATCAAAGAGGGAATTCTAGCAAAGCTGGACTTGGTTACAAACCCAAAGAAAGTCTAGAACCTCATAAAACTATTTTTGTGAAAGAGTTAAGGAAAACATATGTGAAACCAGTTTCAAAAACATTAAGAAACTCATTTAGACCTCTTCAAAGAAAACCAACATGTTTTTATTGCATGAAATTAGGTCATACATCAAATAGATGTTACATAAAACATTTTGGCATATCTAATGGCAAATATGAATGAGTGCCTAAAGGAACAAAGAATTTATACATGTCTAGATGATAGTTTGAGCATCTAATTGATTATCAGAATCAGACATTTTTTTCTTGTTGTCATAATCAATTATGTTGAAAGTTTGAATTTTGAAAGTTTGAATTTATGAAAATTTGAAGTTATTAAAGTTTGAAATTTTGCAGTTTGAGACCTTTTTTTAAAATTTGCAGTATGAGATTTTTTGAAATTTGAAATTTTACAATTTGAGATTTTTGAAATTTGAAATTTTGTAGTTTGAGATTTTGAAATTTGAAATTTTGGCAGTTTGAGACTTTTGAAATTGAATTTGAATTGGAATTTGAAATTTGAATTTGAAATTTGGGATTAGAAATTTGAATTTGAAATTTCTTGCAATTTGAATTTGAAATTTAAAATCTGGAATATGAGTGCATTTGAATTTGAAAGCTGCCTAAATAAGAATACTGCAATTAGGGGAAACTATTGCATTTCATTCCATTATCTCTATAATAATTCTATTCCCTTATCTTTCTCTCTCTTCATTTGTCTTGGGTATCTTAGATATTGCCTCCTTAATATGATGTTCTTCTCTATGACACTTTGTAATGCATTATCTTCTCTACCTTGATTTATGTACTAATATGTGCAAATTTGTTCTCAGTTTCTATTGCAATATTTTTCATAATTTTCAATGAAACATGGAGATATTTTGATGATATTAATCTGTGTGAAATAGGGGGAGATTTTTTTCTTATAATATTTTTTTATGATTATCAATGAAATAGGGGGAGAGTTTTTGATGAATTAAAATCTGTGTGAAATTCTTTCCTATCTCTAAATTAAACAAGGGGAGTTAAGAGAAGTCTTTGCTCATATGAGTTAGGGGGAGTCTTGTTATTAATATATCCAGGGGGAGATTAAGAGACTCTGACACTTAATACTATACTGTGTTAATCTTGAGTTGGTTATATAGAGTCAAACATTTTAATTCATTTCAGGTGTTTCCTTGATGATTATCAAAAAGGGGGAGATTAAAAGCAATGATGGGGAGATTGATGGAAATGTCCCTACATTCCCAAGAGATGATTTTGATGATGATTCAAGTCAACACCATTCAAGATGAATTAAGGACAAGCTGAATTTATGACATTGGTGACAATGTGAAACATTTTCCTACATGCCCAAGATATGTTTTTGATAAAGATGATGATTCAAACAAGCCTAAGATTATTCCTGAAGACTAGATAGAGTCTTAGAATACTGGATATGGAGGTACAAGTTGATGAAGTAATATTATGCATCGCCTCCAAAGCACAAGTGTGATAAAATTCATAACATGGTATTTTTCTCTGTCATAATCAATTATGATGCATCAGAAATGGAAAAATGATTTTCTCTGCCATAATTCATTATACTGGTAACATAATCAATTATGACAATTAAAATTTGAAAAATATATTTTCTTTGAATAAATATTTTTGAATATATCCTTATTTTTATTCACGAAAATATTAATGTCCAACGTCCATTTTCTGATGCTATTTTTCTATTTAATTAAGTTTTGATGAAAAATAAAAAACACACAATTATAGAATTCGAAAATACAATTTACATTCAATCAGTTTTGAGAAAAGAATTCTGAGCAAGGCAACAAAGATATTTTACACCTTCTGAGAAAACCCTCTTCTCTACTGCATTATGTGCTTTCATTGTTAATCACACTTGTTCTTGGAGATTGGCATTCTATAGGCTTCTAAATTTGTTGTCTCCATTACCCAGGTGTGACCGTTCTTATTTTTATTACCTTCATCCTTTTTATATTGGTGGAAAAGGAGGTGTTTTTCATCCCTAGTGTGATTCTAGGGAGGTGTTCATCCTTAATGAGGTTCTAAGGAGGTGTTTTCATCCTTTGATTTTTTCAAAGGAGGTTTTCATCCCTAGTGTGATTCTAGGGAGG